ACCGTAAATCCAGCAAAGAGAAGTATTCTGCTCCCTGCAAACGGTCAAGGGCGTCGTCTATTCGCGGTAACAGGTAAACGTCCTTGCGGGTGATCTTGTTTAAACGTCGATAGTCCACACAGAACCGAATGGAGCAGTCCTTCTTCTCAACAAGAACGACCGGTGACGCCCAGGGACTGTTAGAAGGCTGTACAATACCCCGCTGGAGCATGTCAGCAACCTGGTCGTCAATAACACGGCGCTCCGACGCTGAGACTCGGTAGGGGCGCTGCCGTAGAGGCGTATGGCTTCCTGTGTCAATCTTGTGAGATATGTTCGATGTGCGACTGAGGCCAGAAGCGTGGCTATCAAAAGAAGTACGAAACTTTTGCAGCAGGTTCACTAACTGGCTTCGTTCTGAAGAAGACGTTGCGACATCGATGGAGCGGTGGAAAGCGTCAAGGAGTGACTGGTCAACAACAGAGTCAGAAATGAGTGCGCTGAGGTCCGTAGAAAGTAAACTAGATGGAGCGTCAAAAATGTGACGGGCGTCGATCGGATGCACGTGACCGAGACATTCACCATAGAATAAAGGTAAAGGCCCTTCTAGCGTATTGTACACGAGCGTCTTCGTGACGCCATGGTGGAGATTAAGGAGAGCAATGGGCAGTGGAGAACATTTGCGTTGAATGAACAGGGCAGAGGGCGTAAATAAAACATCGCCGTCGGAAATAGCGTCACATGACACAGTCACCAGCAGAGAAGAGCGCGGTGGTACGGTGGTGTCGTCGGAAACAAACAGTTTATAACACGGCAGGCAGGCTTCGACAACGTCAACATCAGGAAGTGCAGATAGCTCAAGTTCAGCGCGACAGCAGTCAATGACGGCATTATTACTCGCAAGGAAGTCCCAGCCGAGTATCGTCATGGGAACACGAGGGCAGCACTACGAATTCGACGATATACACAATTCCTTCGATGACGACTCGTGTGGTGCAGGCTGCGAGAGGTGTTACACTTTGTGCGTTAGCCGTTCTAAGATAGAGGCCGTATAATGGCGTCAGAACTTTGCGGAGTTTACGGCACAGGTTGATGGAAAGGATGGATAGAGCGGCTCCGGTGTCAACAAGCGCCATGACGACGATACCATCGACTGACACTTCAATGACGTTAGCTGGACAGGGGCGAGGACTTGTGCATCGCGACGGGGACGCAGTTCGTGCCTCGGGAACTGCGGCCATTAGTTTTCCTGGTTGGTGGGTCCGGAACGGCGACGCATAGGGGAAAGCGAACGTCGACGTGGAGATGGGGAGCGGCGGGTCGGGCCGTGCGGGCGATCAGAAGGAAAGGAAGAGGAAGGAGGGCTTGAAGGCGTAGAAGAAAACTGACGGTCGAAAGAGGGCATTCGTCGAATGTTCTGAGCAGCCTGGCGACGACGACTATAACGTGCCACGTGGCCAACACCACCACAAGCAAAACATATGGGACGGTTGTCGTAGGTCCGCCATTGGTCGGAGTAGACTCCGACTTGCGGCTGGGGGGCAGGAAACTGCGGCCGAGGTGGTATCGGCATAGGCGGCGGTGAATAGGTCGGCGGTAAATAGGTCGGCGGCGAATACACAGGCGCTGGCTGGAACGCAGGCTGTCGAGGTCGAGCAACGGCCTCGGCGTACGTGAGAGGTGCGGCGACTGGGGGCGGTTCACGGGCGGGAGGAAGAACTTGTGCGACCTGGTCTTGAATGAAGTCGCAGAGTGTAGATGTCAATCTGCGTGGTTGATTGGGTACACAGGACATCAAAGAGAGCTGACGAGCGACCTCAGCGCGGATGAACTCTTGGATCTTGGAGAGAAGAGGGGCATGGTCTTCTCCTATGCCAAGGGTGGAAAGGCTGGACGAAGAGTCGTCGAGCACCGAGGGCATCGGGTGGAAAGACGTTGCCTGCGCAACTCGTCAAAACTCTGGCATAACTTGGTCAGTTCTAGGACAGTGCGAGGACTCTTAGAAAGCAACATTTGGAAAGCGTCGTCCTCAATGCCCTTCATGATATGCTTGATCTTAAGCTCTTCGGACATGGACTCGTTGACTCGCTTGCAAAGGTCCAGAACGTCCTCAATATAGCTTGTGAAATTCTCACCGAGCTGCTGGGACCGAGTATGTAAGCGTTGTTCGACACGGCGTTTGCGTACCTCTGGCCGCCCGAAAACTTGTGTGAGGTTCGTTTTGAAGACCGACCATGCAGGGAGTTCCGCTTCGTGGTTTATAAACCACAGCTTGGCCACGTCCGACAGGTTGAAGGAGATGTAGGCCAACTTGACGGCGTCATCCCATTTGTTGTGAGTACTCACTCGCTCGTACATTGAAATCCAGTCGTCAACGTCCTTGTCTTCTGTGCCTGAGAAAACGGGGATCTCGCAGACGCAGAGAACCGGCGCAGAGAACAGTAGGCGGTGCCGGTGGAGGAGTTGGAGCGGCGCTTGCGTCGGTAGGCATAATGGATGGTAAAATGCGATTCCGAAGCTCCAGGGTGATCGAAACCCAGCACCTCCACCACTTGTAACGGGGTTTATTTGCAGCGCAGAATGCAGAAAGTGAAGCAGTCAGCAGCGTCCGGCGAAGCGCAGCAAGCACGAGCTTATGCTGATGTTGATGCCCCTGATGCGCCGAGAAATGCCGCTGAAGCTCCTCTTCTTTACTACAATTCAATTATTTTTATCAATTAATCATGCCTAGGTGATATAATTAGTGACAAAGTCTTTCTGCCTTTGTCTGGAAATTGGCTGCGAGGACAAGTGTTTACCTATTATAGTATTTTAAAGAAAAATATGTATTGCTTAAATAAGAACAGCCTGTGTACGTATGTGTGTGTGTCTGTGTGTACTGAAAAAGTTATTCAAATGAGCCAAATGTACTTGGGAAAAGAAGAGGCTGAACTTTAGATGACAAAAATTTGCAGGTGATCATATGTAAAGAGAATAAAAAATCAATAGCTTGTCACGCTCACAATATATATACATATAATAATGCTTATTCAGGGAAGCCAATTGGATGCTCATCAACATGATGAGATGACCTGGCCACAAGTGAGCACAATCTACTCTCTTTTTTTTCCTTTTTTTTAGAGCTAGAATGCAGTTTAACCTGTAATAAGATAACACATTAAAGGTACGAATACAGTTTTTCATGGTGTTGAATCCTCCTTTGTGCAGAAAATTGGTGGGAAACACCAATATATACTTGAAGCATGGCAGCAAGTAGCCACACCAGCAATGCTCAGAAAACTACAACTAAAATGGCGGCAGTGCGGCTTTCAGAAACTTGCCCATGCGGGGAGCCTGAAGAGAGATCGGTCTATTTACTGACTTCGCGAATTGAAATGTGGACCTGCCAAGCTGGCAACAATGAAATGCCGGGGATTCGTAAAACTGAGTAGGGGTGGCGAAAAATTAAAAACAAATACACTGCTACGAATGATTGCCAAATGATTGCTCCAAGTTTTTCAGACGTCAGTGATTATACTAGTATTCACAATTATGTGATGTATACGTGCATAAGTAATTGAACAAAATGCCATGTGTACTGTGAATGGTGCTGACAGCGCCTTCCAAATCTCATTATGCTTTTCTACAGGGCACCAGTGTACCGTAGCGTAAGTGCATCAAGCAGCCTTCTGCACGGGTTAGAACAAGGCCAAAAGGCTTTCCGACACCAGGAGCAAAGCTTCTTAAACCCGAAATTCCTGTCCCGGGCAAAACAACAGGTGCGAAGCAGGGGCGCAGGCGCGATGGCAGATGACTCGCCCGCTGCACACTCACTCGCTTAGTCCTTCCAGCCACCGAGCACAGTAGACGCTCTCCCCGCCCTACAGCATCCATGAAAGCCAGTAGCGAGACCAGGCGCATAGTCGTTTCCGTCCCGTTTCTAAGGAGCTTCACTCATTGGTCGTACTCGTAAACAGAACAACTGCTACTTTTCTTTCACGATGGTGTTAGGCTTAGGGCACAACTTCTCGGCTTGCCTGTAAGGCGCGTTTGACCAGACAAATTAACAACGATGCGTGGTCGTTGGCCCTGCGACAGCACTGCGTATTTATTGCCGAGACGACACAACTTATGTGCCGTAGCTATAGCAATCAACGTGGTCGCCAGCAACGCCAGCGTGCGCCTCCAGGTTCAGTTGCTAGCATGCCATAGCGGCGTTTGCTGAATAGAAAATTAATATTTCATGCGAAGGATTGTTCACTATGGCAACCTATTTTTGTCTTGCAGTTGCAAAGTCCCACCAATAGGTAGCCATTGTGGTTAGTGGAGCATGGGAGCGCAACATGTTTGCTTTATATATTTACAATAGTATATATCTTAGGCTGTGGTTTAGTGTTAGGGTTTGTGCACATGAATTGATTGATGACGCAAACTGCAGGTAGCCGACGTAGCCTCCATTTCTCAATAAAATTTGCGCAACTGAGAGAATATTGAGGCTGGTTGGGCATTTTGGCACAGCATGGCGCAATTTTAGCCAATTTCATGATTTTGGCGAAGCTCGGCGCAGCTGTTACACCACTGTGTATGTGTGATGATTCTGTTTACAGAGAGCGGTACCTAGAACAGTATAGCTGCATGATCTGCTTGTCATTTGTCTAAGGATAATCGATAGTTTCTGAATGAGCGATGAGTTTCCAGATTTATAGACAAAAGTGTTACATTGTCAATAGCCTAAATAACATGGCCATTTCGCATAGTTAGGCTAATTCTCATAGAGAAAGTGCATCGATGGAAGAAAGGGGAGTAGGTTCTATGACAGTAAGCTCTGCATATTAGGTGCCAAACCAAGAATATTTTGGGCCAGAAACACTTAACTGCCATTTAAGCAGGTGGAATAGAGAACTTTGGCACAGTTTTATCAAGATGCACATGAATAAGAGCAGTAAGGCAAAGAGAGGTAGAATTTTAGCAAAATGATGCAAAATGCCTAGTTCAACCACCACTGGGTTGAATTTTTCTTCTGCTTATATAATCACACTTACTGTGGTTGGTCCCAGAACGACTTGTTGATGGCATTATTGTCATGCACACTGCAGGAAATGTGAGACAGGAGTTCATGATGATTGTGGAACTTTCCCAAGCACACAAAACAAACATTCAGATAAACCTGTTGAAGAAAATGTTGAAAAAGCACATAAATTCATGCTAGAGGTTACAAAGACAGTGGTGAAAAAACATTTCCCCATTTAGCACAGATGCTGGTGTAGCCAAAAAGCAGATTGTGCACAATAATCAGCAGTTTTGGTGCCACACCTGACTTACATGTACTTATTAACTAAAAAAAGCATTAAGTACCACAAATCTAAAGTACACAAATGAGTGTGACCTTTGCAATAAATAAACCACCAGGATAAATTTATCATTGCTTATATAATACTAAATTTTCATGTACTCAAATTGTGGTATAGCCTTATATGCCATTTCAATATGCAGAAATGGTTTATACATTTACAACACTATTAGTGAGCAGGAAGAGAATAAAAAGGTTGTAAGACAAGCATCTACAAGCCTCAAACACTATACTCTATAGGACACACATAGAAGTGCCCCACTTAAAGTGTTTGTATCCTGAATCAAAGGAGCGTTAGGATTAGGATGTTGTAGGTAGCCGGCAGATCTAGCCTTGTGAAATTTGCAGGCATTCGCCCTGCCCAGTTTCCTCTTCGCTAATCGTATTGAACTAATGTCCTTCTTTATTGTTTTTTCACCTTAGCGCCAACATGCTCTTAGAAAGTCGTGTAGCGCCACGCAATCCTGCATCAGCAGGTGGCCAGTGTGCTATTCCACATGCAGTGTTGTTCCGGACCCCCATCTCACTACATCACACCCCGACATAATTGTCATTCATCACCAGTCACATGCCAGATCTGTAGCAAAAACTTAAACAGGAGTCGCAACACCTGCTTACCGAGGATTCAGTGACCTCGTGGAAACACAATATCAGATACACTGTCACAGAGCGAGCCTAATCGTGTTAGTTCCTCAAATAAACATTGCTGTACTTTGTTATAAGCTCATGACACTTTAGCGAATAGTGTTCTACACCACCTCATGCCTTGCAAGTTGAGCACAATGGCATTGCGAAAAGTCTGATTTTGTGAAGCCATGTTGGTGCAAGCGCTGACCCCATTCAGATGCATTGAAGCAAACAGGCCTCTTCCTTTGATAGCTTTTTTCGTCACGCGTGGCTGGTGAGACATAAGCCATAACACATGGAAATACTTGCTGACAGCTTCTCGTAAAATATGTTGATTGTCTTTGAAGCCTTCTTCTTTGGTAAGTCCCAAAGCACTCTGGGAAAGTCTGTCAGCCGCCTCACTGCCCGCTATGCCCACATGTGATGTAATCCATTGAAACTTTATATTTATATCAACACCATGTAGGTATTTAAAAGTTTTCAGAGATCTTTGAGTGCAGTGATCTGAAGCCAACCTATGCTTTAGCCACTGCAGAGCAGGCTTACTGTTGAAAGCGTCACGACTAATTAATCCCCACAGAACTTCAGCTTTTTCAGTTTGATGTACTCAGAGGAAGTAGAACTTTCAGCGTGAAAACCAAATTGGCGAGACTTCCAATATATTAAATTTGCTTACTATATAATGTAATGATAATAAATAGTGGGGCTCAGGCAAGGGGAGGCAGGGTTACGGAAGCGGAGGAAGAGGAAGCAGAATAAGAACAGCCGGCCTGCAGCAAAGGCGTTGTCTCTTATTTCTCGTCGTTACAATGGCGCAGTCGACGAAGAAAACGGCTTACGTCTCGGTTTCGTCATCCAGAACGCCCGCCGACGTGCAGCCGCGGTAAGCGTCGCTTGAGGACGGCGTCAAGCCCTCCTCGGCAGCTGTTTACTGACACCACCGTTCGGGGACGGCGTCAAGGCCTCCTCGGCGGCTCCAGCACCCGTTACCGGTACCAGTTCACGATAAGGAACGCCGTCACGCTTCTTCGCTGATGGAACCCGCAAGGCGTCCGTCGCGGCCAGCATCGATCCCAGCACCGACGGATGGCGTCCAGGCCTCCGTTGTGGTTCCGGGAAACTTGTCCTGGGACGCGACACGTCGCGGCAACCATGCGCACGGGCCTCTCTCACCTAGGGATGGCGTACATGCCTCCTCCATACCTGGCAACCTGTCGGCGCTTCAAGCACCCACCGTGTACGGCGTCGAGGCCTACCCGGCGGCGCAAGACCGCTTCATCTACGCCACAGTACCAGGTCACAACTCATCACACGGGTTCCGCTTGCCTGGGAACGTCGTTCACGCTTCCAGCGCCCTGGAACCCATGTCCACGATTCCTACCACAGCTGGATTTCCAAGGGACGCCGTCCACGCGTCCTTGGTCAGCAATTGTACCACCTCGAGTACCGCAGTCACTGTATCCTCCGCAGAGGCGGGCCTTGGCTCTTCGTGCGGATCACACGACAGCGCAGCGGAGCTGCAGCATACCATCGCGCAACTCCGCGTCACGACCAACGCCCTCATAGCGTCGAGCTCCCAGCTATGTCCTGCCATCTTGCCAACATTGTGCGCACTCAATGCCATGTTGGCTGCGGCCGCCTCACAAAACTTCGAGGTAAGCTCGCCCGAGAACCGTCGCAATCTCGGGCGTTCTCTCACGGAGGTATCAGAGCAAGTGAACTGCTTGGCGTGGGCACATTTCGGAGTTTTGCCCGCAGTCCCGCCATCGCCGATTTCCTTCGAGCTACCGGAGTTTCGCGGCTTCCAGGACGATGCCAAGGAATGGGTGGCAACCGTCAACGCTGTCGGAGATCACGCAGCGTGGACGGACCAAAAGAAGTGGGGCATGGCCATAGACCGCCTTCGGAATGCTGCCGCGGCTTGGCATCGATACGAAGGCGTGCGACAGACATCCTGGGTGGACTGGAGTGACAAGCTCATAGCTGCTTTTGGACGGAGTCACCATCACCTCTCCACGACCACCCAGTCTTACGCGACCGCTACCGAGAATAGATCCCAGAAGGAGACCACCCTCGCGGCTTCAGCTGTATTTTGCAGCTTCCCGACAGCCAATTTAACCACCTACCCTGGGACGAACAACCCTACAGTGTTGACCCTCACTTCGAAGCGACATCTCCTGATATCACGTCAGTCTGTGGCCGAGTGTGCGGACGTCTGCCACACGCTAAGCGCCGCCTCCTTCAAAGTCACTGTCAGCAAAGACCTACCAGAGAAGGTAATACTTCCGGTTAGTGACAGGTCATCTGACAATGAAGGCTCTACTGCACGTGAAACTATAGGAATAAGCAGCTTGAGCATGAGTCCGACAAAGGCAGTGCTGCAAGAGCACGCGTTGCCTCTCAAGCTGCAACCTGAACTCGGCTCTCAGATGACTACAAAGACACCCCGACGCCCCTTGCCACACCGCAAGCAACGCAGGCGTCGACGCTCAGTGCAGCAGGTGACGGTGCAGCGTGGACTATTTCCAGCATTTGTAACACGACTGCGACAGGATGCTCGAACCGACGAGATTAAACCAACGCGGCCACTTTGCAGGAGCCTGTATCTCCTGCTAGCGGCATCTTGTCCAAGTCAACAGCGTTGGCCCCATCGTGGACGACGCCTGCACCGACCATCACGTCACAGCCAGTGTCGTCCTCCGGAATCTCCTTCAACAAACTTCCATGTGAAATATCAGCTTGGCCGAGCCCGGCCACCCCGGAATAGTCAATGCCGCCCACCGGAGACATTGTCGGTAGCCCACGAGGCTCGCAGTCGGGGCCGAGTGTAATGATAATAAATAGTGGGGCTCAGGCAAGGGGAGGCAGGGTTACGGAAGCGGAGGAAGAGGAAGCAGAATAAGAACAGCCGGCCTGCAGCAAAGGCGTTGTCTCTTATTTCTCGTCGTTACAATAAATATATTAAGTCATTTTTGTTCAGCCAAACTAAAACTAACTTGTCAATGACTTTACTAAGAAAAAAAAAGAATACTGATAGGGCAATAAAAGAAAACAGATGGCTTATCAACCTTTTTAAACATTAGAAGAGCTTCAGCTGTCTTCAGAACAGGGGTCTCAAACTCGCATCAGGTGACGGCTGCAGTCAAAAAATTTAATCCAGCAAGGGTTGAGACAGCAAAGAAGTTCAAAGCAAGAAAGGGGGGGGGGGGGGGGCGAGGTAACTGTACCAAAAAAGAGGCCAGGCCATTCTCATTTCATATATAGGTCATTTCTCAAGAAGATTTGATGTCAGATGATTCCAACGCTATGTGAATACCGATCTTCATAATGAGTTTTTGTGGTGCTGCACGAGTGTCTAAAAAGAAAAAACAAAAAAAACCCACACATGCAAGAAAAACAAAAACACACACACGCTTAAACCAGTTCTGTATGTACAGAATAACCAAGCCTAGCATTACTAATCATGATAGGCTGATGAAAATGGAAGACGAAAACGTTCTGCAAACCAAGCGCCTACAATCCATACGAAGAGTGTGGATTAAAGGTGTAAAAGCAAGCATGCCGTCAGTCTATGTTATTTACATTTGGTGACGTGAAACCTTAGACAACATCTTCGACTGGAACTGAGGTAGACACAACGAGTGACAGATTGATGACACAGCGTTCGTCGCCTGAAAGTTCACAAGGCAGGAGCCCATTACGTTTTCTTCGTTTCTGGTCTGCCCGTGTCCGTCAAGACCAAGGTTCGTAAGGCTAAAATGTTTATGGAGAAAGGAAAGCCACATCCTGTCAGCCTAGCCCTTGAAACACTGAACAGTATTTTCTGCACATCCACTGAAATTTAACTTCAGAGACAACTAGAATGTTCCCGAGGCCTGGACGATAAACTTTTGCTGCGATGACACCTGTGCTGCAGGCTTAGCCCTCGAAGCTGCCGATTGTTCACTGCTAGACCAGGTTTGCTTGCATTATGATGCTCGAAGGTCTCGCAGACAGAATGTCGAAGCCTTTGTAAAAGTGCAACTGTAAAGGCTCTACCCTTGAATCCGATAGTACCACGTTAACATTGTCGACCATGACACAGAAACTGGGCACCCACAAACTCCAAAGAGTCTGACGAAGCAGAAGACCAGTATATGAAAGAACTTTTAATTAGGTGGAGATAATTGCATTGAGACGACGAAGCAGTC